TCTCCCCCCTCCCCTTTCCCCCTCCCCCTTCCCCTCCCCTCTCCCCTCTCCCCTCTCCCCTCTCTCCCCTCCCCTTTCCCCTTTCCCCTCTCCCCACTCCCGCTCCCCCCACCCCTCACCAGGGAGCTACACAAATGTACCTTTGCCGTAGTGGTTTCTTTTGCCTCAGGTGTCACCTCCTCCAAGAAGCTTTCTCTGACCTTCCCTCTACTGTGGTCCCCCAGCCTCTGTGCTTATTATGATCACAGCCATTAGGACAAATATTCTGAAACTATTTCTTTATGTGTTTGCTCCCCATCCCTCAGAAAACTACCATGAACTTTTTAAGATTAGATCTTATTCCCTCTGCGTCCCTAGAATGTGTCCCAGGCCTTGGCACCTAGGGGTTGCTCAGTTAATATTGATCGGAATGCCCCATGTGAATGCCACTGGAAGTACACAGACAGAGGCTGGGCAAGCATTTACTGGGATATCATGGGGGTCTGAGCCCAGGATGGGCTGGACTGGGGTCCTAGAAGGCCAGTCCAGCTCCTGAGGCCCACCCAGCCTTGTTTGCCCCAGGCACCAGCAAGGTGGATTCCAGCCATGAAGGCCCAGGCCTCGTTCTGCGCAGCTGCTTTGAAATCTGGAGACAGGAGTGATTAGAGGAAGGGTGAAATGGGGCGGGGCTGGACCAAGCTGGGATGGGGCATGGCAGCTCTGTGCAGTGACCCAGACGTTTGGAAGAAGTGACAAATCTGGAGTCTGTGCAAGTCATTGTCGAGGACATTGTCTTAATGGTTTTGACAAGGCCTCCAGGGCAAGTCTGTTGTTGCCAAGGGAGAACTTGGTGGTGGATAAAGAGGCAGCAGTGTGGTTTACCCGAGAGCCTCAGGGCTGGGAGTAAATTGCTGCTTGAGGTGGCTGAGAGCACCAGGGCCTGCTTGTGGGAGAGTGCCGTCCAGTCCTACCGGTTGCGCAGGCATGGATGCCCTAGGGGTGGGTCTGGGCCTCTTTTCCCTTGCGTTTCACCTTGTCCTCCTTCTGAAGTTTGCCCTTAAGCTTTCAAGGATCAATAGGTTACAAGTTGTCTGTTGGGGTGAGAGCAGCCAAGTGGCGCTCCTGGGCCAGTGAGGGTCATAGTCCTCTTGGTGGGAAGGACGGAGGGAGGGTTCAGAGGCTTCCCAGGCCCCTGTGAAGAAACAGAGGCCCTGCTGATGGAGAAGTGGCAGGAAACGAGAGCAGCCAGGTGGGAGGATATGTCCGAAGCGCCAGAGGAGCAGAGTGCGCTGGAGGGATGGGCAGGTGGCCAGAGGGATGCTTCTGCCTGTTGCGACACCTGGGCTGGCTGACAGAGTGCTTGGCCACGTTTATCATTGTCCACCTGAGCCAGGTTGGCTGTTGCGGGTCCTTAGTCCAAGCCACTGCCCTGTGGTCATTGACATTCACCTAACCTGCCCCTGAGACCCCTGGAGGGGAGAGGTCTTCTCCCTGTGTGCTCCCGACAGCCCTTGCATTTTTACCCCGTCCGGCAGGAATACCTGGATGCTATTCACCACCTGTACGAGGAGTGGCTCATCAAAGGGAGCCTTTTCCCCGTGGCGGCCCCTGTTCTGGTAAGCCCCCCTAACAGGGCAGGAGACTTTTCTAGAAGGAGGAGCGACTCGGGGGATGTCGGCCACTCTGCAGCTGGAGAATTTGAAAGAAGGAAGCGGGGAGGGTGGAAGGGACTCTGTCTCACAGTCCCCGTTCTGGACTGAGCCTTAGTGAGCTGGACAGACCTGAGAGAAGGTGACCTGTCCCAGTGTCATTACGCCGGTGGCACAGTAGCATCTGTTATCCAGCATTGTCAGCAAAGGAGAGTTCCAGATGGCTGGAGCCCCTGGACCTGGGTTTTGGCCTTAACCGCTTGGGGTGGTGGTCTTTCTGACATGCCCGTCCCTTCTCCAGCGGGTGGCAGGCCCAAAGCCTCATTGCACCTTTTCTTGGTGACCCAGGGCATCTGAAGGAACGTCAGTTGCTGTTCTGGTCTGTCACACAATGATGCCCCCTTAGGAGGTGCTGAGGTGTGTAGGACTGTTTGCCCCAGACTACTAATGCCTTTGAATTCCCCTGTTTGCTTTTTACCCTCCTTTCTCCTGCTGGCACTCACCATTTCTAACTGTGTTGATGCTTCTGCCCCATCAGTGTTTCCCCACTTCCTTGTCCCCTCGTTTTCTGATTTGCTGCTGCCAACTTTCTTTAGGCAGGCCGTTGGGTCCCTCGGACTGTTAGGAACGTGTGTACAGTGTGCGATCTGAGGGAGGGCCTTGCACAAACTTGTGTGCATGGCCTTGGAGACATCTGTCTGAGCTGCTCAAACACTGTACTTATGGCTCTTGCAGGCAGTGAGGTTGCTGGAAAGTGAGATATTACTGTACTGGATTTTTAAAGAAAATTTATTTTTTTCCCCTCATTATAGAAAAATGGTTGATATCAAATGATGATAAAAAAATCATTCATGAGCTTGCCGCAGGGACAACTATCGTGGATTCTTAAGTGAAAATATAGTTGAGAATGTGGATTGACCTAGAAACGGGAGCTGTTTGGCCCTAACCTTCCCTTTTCTCTGCCTGTGACCTTGGGCTTCCCTGCCTCTCCCTGCCTCATCCTGCCTGCCCCTGTCTCTCTCTCTTCATCAGTGAAGGGAGGATGATGTTGAGGTCAGGGGCAGCCCTGTGACCTGTGTGTTTAATTTCCAGGTGATTGAGGCTGACCACGACATGGAGAAAATGTTAGAACTCTTTGAACAAAACCGGCACCGAATACTAATTCCAGAGGATCGGAAGCTTGGTCCATAGGACGGGGAAGATCATGCCAGAGAAATGCCCGCTGCTGCCAAGTTAGCTCTCACGAGCAGTTTGGAACAATCCACTCACGAGAGGGCTTTCTATCTGGGCACATTTGTCTTCCTAATGGTCTTCTCTCCTTTGCCAGTGTCTTTATCCTGGGATTCTGGCCCTCGTGGGTAAATGACATGATGGGACCAATGGGTTTGTCGTGGCCCTTTGGTGTCGCAGCCTTGCATTCCCCCGGTGCTTCTTCCGGTGGTTTCCCACCTCTGAATCCCTCTAAATTAGGGAAGAGCCACCTGACTGACCCTGGGCTCATGGTCTCTAGCCCTTCAGACCATCCTCGAGGGCGAGGTAGTGGTCTTACATCCCAGGGGAGGAAGTTGAAGCTCAGACTGGCTAAGGGACTCCCCGGGGTCACACAGCCAGTGACAGTGGAGTCAGCACCATTCAGACTTCTGGTGACTCCCAAACGATCAATCTCTTGCCCCAGGCTGCCTCATCCCAAGAGCCCTGCCTTCCCTGCTGGAGAGCCCCACACGTGTGTGGGAGTGTGTGTGTGTGTGTGTGTGTGTGTGGGTAGCGGGGGCAGCGGTGCGTGCAGCCAGCATCTTCATTTTCTCCTTATTTGAGCAGCTCCTGAGGACAGTTAGCATTTCTAGACTCTCACAAAATTGTGTGGTATTTGGCTGGAGCCCAGCGTTCAGTGGTTCACTAGCGTGAGGCTGATGTGGTACTTACCACCTCATCATCGGGACTTCCCTGTCCTTAGGAGAATCGTGGTTTGGCTCCTGAATGGTGCTCGGTCTCCTTGGTGACGGAGGTCCTGCTTGAGCTGCTGCCGATTCCCCGGCAGGGCAATGGCCTATGGCGCCAGGCTGGTGTGCCCAGTGCTGTTCTGGGCAAGGGGCTGCCAGCCTGGCTTCTGAGGCTCCCTTCCTCCATAGTGGCCTTGTGTGAGGAGCTTCACCCTTGGAATTCCTGGGAGTTTGTGGCCCAGGGGAGAGACACAGTGGCCTTACGTCTTTTTGAAATGTTTTTCCATCCAAAGGGACACCATGGGCCCTAGGGCATGAACCATCTTTATTCAGAGAATATCTAAGCTCCGCTCAGCTGTAACAATGCACTGAAGGCACGGCTGTCTCCTGAGTCAAGTAGGAAGCAAGAGAAAGGAGGAACATTCTCTTTGGGGACAGTTTGGGCAGGAAAGTTGGGGCTGGCAAGCAAAGGCTCTTGGAGCACTGGAGCTCCTGAATTTTGGAGGTGGGTGGAGAGAGCTTCCAGAAGGCTGTTGCAGACACGGGGAGGGATTGATTATGAACTTGGGGAAACAGGCCTTGGCCTCTCCCGAGTGGTGGTTGGTGTACCTGAAGGTTGGAAGGCCTCATCCCAGCCTCTGTGTGAGTGTGGCACCTGTGCATGCAGTTCTCTGACACTACATAGGTGACAGGTGCCCCGGGTGGCCTGGGCCCAGAGGCAGCACTAGGAGGGCAGCACTCTGGCTTCCAGCCCTTTCTGGCTGGACTGACTCCTGGGCCGTGTGCACAGGGTGAGGGCGGCAGTCCGGTGGGGATGTGTCTCTCAGCCCAGATGTTGGTGATGGACCAGAAACCTGGGGGAGGCAGCGCCTCTGCTTCCAGGCATCTGGACATGCCAGGACCATCTTTGGGCCTTTGCAAACAGTCCAATTTCCCCTCAATTTGAGCATCTGTTTTGGGGGAAATGTGATTTAAAAAAAACAAAATCTTGCTCTGTGATAGCCAATAAATCCTTCACTTAAAACCTGGTGATAATTTTGGAGTGCTTCCTACGCCAGTGATTTTAGGTCCCTGCAGCATCCTTGTACCAGCAAGGTAATGTTTTAATTTTTAAACACTGTGTTCCTAACGGGATGTCCGGGTCCATAAGAGCTCTCTGTCCTCCCACCCCGGCACCTTGGAGAGGATGCTGTATGTACCCACAGTGGCTGGGGCCTGTCACAAAAATCTCCCAGCCCAGAGATGTCACAGGAAATGGCTAGAGCCCAGCCCACCAAGGGTTGCTCTCCCCCATGTGGCAGGCAGGGCTGGTGGTGGCAGGGATCACAGCAGTTATGAACACTGCTGAGAACCAGGGCAGGGAAAGGGCAGATGGCACGTGGTAGGCACGGGGCCCAGTTCCTCAAGCAGAGGGAGGCACTCCCCAGGGACTCCCAGGAACGGCCGTGAGGAGCGTGGCATGGCTTGGCAGGCCCTTGCTAAACGTGAGCCCTGGGAAGTGCTGTCACCCTGCTTGTTTTTCCCTTTCTTTTTCTCTTCCTGCCTCTTTTCTTCCTTTCCACCTGAGCCCCTCACCTAGCTGAGAAGCCCCCCTGCCTGAGAAATGCATCAGTCAGAGACCCTTCCTGGGGCTCCCGCAGGCTCCCACCATCTGACCTGAGGAAGGAAGGATTGAGGTATTTATTGCTGTGAGAGCAGGTAGGAGATGTTTCCAAAACCTGTCTACCCCTGGGTGCTATGGAATCCGCATCACCCTCATTTTCCTAGAGCCTGGGGCCAGATGGGGGAGCGCACTTCAAATGCTCACACATCTGCGGAATGAGTAACCTCACCCCCTTGGCCTTTTCACCCTGAAGTTACAGTTACTAAAATAATTGACAAGCTCTTGGAGACGTCAGCCCTCCACTGTTGAGAATCTAATAACAATAATATTGTGCCCAATGTCTCTGGGCTTTGACAGTGGATTACTTATTTACCAGAGGCCCCAGGGTCACTGGCACACGCTTTCTTTTCCTAATTAACCCCAACCTTGTGGCTCCCCTAAGGCTGGGGTGAGCTCTGTGTTCCTCTAGTTTCTGTAAGATGGTGAACTTGGCAAAAGCTGTCATTAAACAGAAGCTAGGAGAAAGCCAAGCTTGTGGAATCAGAATGGGTATTGGCATTTACTGCTCTCTTCTTGAATTTCTGCATTTTTTGGCTTTTTCTTCTCCAAGACTGGGGTCTGTGGAACACAGGTGTCCTGGGAGATAGGAATAGGTGCTCTGAGAAAAGAGGGTTCCGTAGTCCACAAAATTTGGGAAACACCACCTGGGTACTCTCTCTGCGATGCACAAGGTACATTAGCCTAGATAAAGTCAAGAAGTCCTGCAATAAAAACACTTTCTAAACTTTGTTTTAGCCAGGGACTCTCAAACTCACTTGACAGTAGGGCCTCCCATTTGGGGAGTATACATCAACAATCTCCAGATGTGCTAATGTTCCTTGGAACACACATTGGGAAGCACTGTTTTAGGGGGCCTGCAGCTGCTGATGACTCCTGGTTCTGTGTCCTTTGGGATGCTCTAGCTCATGGTTCTCTAACTTCAGAGCATCTGAGTCCTCTGGTGGGCATGTTAAAACACAGACTGCAGGGCCTACCCCCAGAGTTTCTAATTCAGTAGATCTGGAATGGGTCTGAGAATTTGTTTTCTAATGACTTTCTAGGTGATGATGAGTCTGCTGGTCCAGGAACCACCGTTTGGGGACCACTTCTCTTAGCTTGATGTTTTCTAGAAGTGGACATCCAGGAGTTCCAAGAAAACTTGGCATGTTTTTGAGCGTTGTCACCCCTCGTGAGTGTTGGCTGTCTTACCTGTTGAATGGGAGCATTGCTCACTTCCTAGGGCGGTGAGGATAACCAGCCTGGCGTGTGGAAGGGGCCCAGAGCAGGACCAGTTGCTAAGTTTTAAATAAATATTACCTTTGGGGATCCAGATGTTGAAACATACTATAAAACTTCTATAATTGAAACAGTATGATACTGGTGCATGAATAGACAAGTAGACCAGTGGAATAGAATAGAGAGCCCGGAAATAGATCCAAGTACATGATAAAGGTGACATCTCAATGATTATTGGGGATAAAGATAGATTTTTAAATGGTGCTGAGATGACTGAGTAGCCATTTGGAAAAAGATAAAAATAGATCCATATCTCACATCATACCCAAAAATAAATTACAAGTGGTTAGGGATCTAAATGTAAGAAATGAAACCATGCAAGTACTAGAAGAATGAATTCTTCTTCTTTAAAACCTTGATGTAGGGAAAACTTTGTAACTCTAATTCAAAATCTAGGAAAAATAAAAGATTGATAAATCTGACTAAAAAATGTGTATGACAAAACTCATTTGGAAACAAAGTCAAAAGGCAGTGGACAAAGTGGGAGAAAATATTCACAGTGTATATCACAAAGGGCTAATATTTGTGAAGAATTCTTAAAAATGGACAAAGAACCAAAACTCCAATAGAAGAATGAGAAAAATATCCAAACAGAAAATTTACAAAAAAGATAATAAAAATGGCCCTTAAAGATATGAAAAATACTCAAATTCACTCAATTAGAGAAATGCAGATGCTATGATCTAAATATTTGTGTCTCCCCCAAATTCATATGTTGAAAACCTAATGTCCAAGGTGATGGCATGAGGAGGTGGGACCTTTGCAGGGGGGTGATTAGGTCATGAGGGTGGACCCCTCATGAATGGGATTAGTGCTCTGATAAAAGAGACCTCACAGAGCTCCCAAGCCCCTTCTACCATGTGAGGACACAGGGGGCAGTTGGCAGTCTGCAATCTGGAAGAGGGCCTTCACCAGAACCCAGCCATGCTGGCACCAGGATCTTGGACTTCCAGCCTCCAGAACCGTGAGATATAAATTTCTTTTGTTTGTAAGCCACCCAGTCTGTGGTATTTTGTTAACAGCAGCCCAAACAGACTAAGACAGCAAATAAAAGAACACTGAGATACTTACCAGACTGGCAAACACACAAACATATATATCGAAACATCCTGTTGTTGAGGCTGTGGGGAAACAGTCACTCTTACACGTTACTGGTGGGCATGCAAATTCGTCTACCCCTTCTGGAGGGAAATAGGATACCACCTGACACACTACATACATACTTACATCGCAATCCAGCAACCCCACTTCTAGGACATGAAGGTGTATATATGTACAAGGTTATTTATGGCAGCATTGTTTGTAATTGCAAAATAATTGAAGACAACCTAAATACCCATATACAAGAGAGTGGTTAAATAAACTATGGTACATCCACACAATGGAATAGTATACAGCTGTGAAGAAGAACAAGGAGGCTCTCTCTGTGAATGGATGTGATATGATTTCCAGGACACACTGTTAAGGGAAGGAAGCAGTGTCCAAATGAGTATCTATAGTATGCTATAGGAAGTACAGGAAAGGCAACCCAGAAACTAAATAGATTGGTGGGAAAAGGCTGGAGAGAAGGGAAAAATGGGATCAGGGTTGCTGGGATGAGAGGGGAATACACTCCTGTGAATATATCATTTTGTATAACTCTAACCATAGTAATGTCTCACCCCCCAAATAAATAAATAGTTAAGGTGGAGTAGGATGTAGGGGGAACGGAAGATGGAATACAAACAGATGAATCACAAGTAACCACACTGAAGGTGCTGGGAAGAAAAGAACTCACTGAAGTAACCTTGGAAAACAGTGTCTTGATTGGATACGAGAAGAGTAAAGGTAAAAATTATTTTACATAAATGCTGAAAGATAGTTATTAGAAGTGTTTCTTGCAGGGATATGTTTAGCAATTCTGAAACTATACCAGAATCGACCAATATATTAGAATTGAACAAATAAGTAAATAGTCTGTAGATTATGAGAGCTGGGTTTCTCACTATTAGAGAATTTGAGTCTGGTGTTCTCTTATGGCTAGAGTGAGGTTAGACATTTTTGGCAAGATGCCACCATAAAAAAAAAGATGCTGTGTCTTCCCTCAGTGCATCTTATCAAAGGATGTATGATGTCCATGCAGCTTATTACTGGTGATATTTACCTGCTCATCCCTGGAATAAACTACTAGGATCTCTGGTTCCTTGTATTGGAGAGTGAGTGATGTTTAGAGCCCAAGATCTAAGTGCCAGGTGTAGTCATTGTTACTGGGTGTCTACTTCTAAGCCCACTCTTGGGACAGAGTTAGGAAACATATGTATGTGTACGAACCCACTCATACACACACATAGCTATATTTCTGTATCTAACTATAACTTAAAAACCATGAGTTCATATTGATACCTCTGATTCTAATCCAACACCACAGAGTGAAAGTCATGATGGAACCTAGGTTTTAACGGGATCCTCTGGCAGCTGGATGGAGCTGACAGCAGGAGGATGAGGGCAGAGGCTGGGAGACCAGGAAGGGGGCTGGCGTCCTCCCAGGATCTGAGTGACAGGCCTTGGTAGCTCAGTCGAGGGGCTCAGGCCTCTGTGGAAGGAGGAGGGACGTGGTCAGATTTGGTCCTTGCTGTGACAGCTATAGTTGGATGAAGGATGTGAGAGAAAGAGAAATCAAAAATGATTCCTACCTTGGGCTCAGCTTTCAAGTAGATGGGGAACACCGCGGGGCAGGAACACGGGGAGAACAAAAGTTCTGTTGTGGTTTGGGACTGAGCATGCTTATTATGTTAATGATCAGAAAATAACGAATAAAAAATGGTCAAGGGCTGCAGGTCAGACCCAGGACTAGGTGCCCTGGTTGCCATGATTCCCAGGTCCGTACCCCCTCCCACCTCATCCCTTCTCCCGAGGCTCCTGACCCTCTCTGTCTCCAGCCCAGCCTGTTCCTGACGTTCTCCTTCCCCAGAATGGAGGCTTATGGCTAGGGTCTGCTCCGACCATCCCCGCCCCCCGGCCCCGCTTCACTGGCTCCAGACGCTGACAGCTTACCGGCCTGAGTGTCGACTGCTGTGTGCTGTGCTGAGTAATTGGCATGGGTGGGTGGGAGGAAGGATGGATGGACGGGTGGATGACTGGCCAGTGCCTCTCTCTTCCCAGTGCAGAGTGCTTCCCGATTTGTCTTGAAAAGCCTGTGTAGGGCCTGGCCAATAGTCTGATTGGGAGGGAGGCGGGGCCAATGCCCCTTAAATCCTTCCCACCTGTGGTCCCCCTTGATGTAGGGACTGAAAATGGTGGGGTCATATGCTCAGCTCTGGGGACAGCAAAGCAGGCGCCAACGTTTATTAAGCACCTGCTGTATGCCCAGAAGGGGCCTTTACACCACCCTCAGAGGCAGGGGCCATCCTCCCCACTTCACAGATGCAAAGCCGAGGGACAGGCCCTGGGCAGGTGCCACCTGCCACCCCATAGAGAGGGTCTTGGCTTTCTCTTGGGGCCCTTATGAGGATTGCCCGTGTGTGTGTGTGTGTGTGTGTACGTTCCTGGACACACCCACTTGTGTGCAGGTGTGCATGCATGTGTGCATACGTGGGGGCAGGAGAGACTGGTGGAGGGGGCGCCCCCACTCCAGGCAGCCCAGATGATGGAGCCCCCAGCCCTGGATGCAGAGCAGGCTTCTGAGCTGACCCTGGGCTCCCAACTGTGGCCTTGCTCTCTGTCAACCTGAAGCTGGCTGAGAGAAGAGGGAGGCTGACAGAGGACCCTAAACAGATTAAGGGTATATTACACATCTGGTTGTCTACACATCTCTCTTTTAATCTGCTCTGTGACAGGTGCCTTAAGGATGCTGAGGGAAACTGCTATTCAGAGATGCAGGGTGACTCTCCCAAGGTCACACACTGAGCTGGTATGTGAAGGGGACAGGAAGCCCCCCTGAGGTCAGCACTATGCACACCTCCCCTCATTAACTCTTCTTAGCCTCCTGTGAGGTAGATCTGACACCACACCCACTTTGAGATGAGGAAACATGGCTCAGAGAGGTGCAGTGAGTGGCCCAAAGTCACACAGTCTATAGGTGGCAGTGCTGGGACCTGAGACCAGCTGGGATTAGCAGGTTTGTCCCTGTGGCTGACAAGCTGTGGGTTTGGCTGCTGTCCCCACTGTGGTCCCAGATCCACCATCTCTCCAAGTGTCACCTTCCTGGCAGAAGAGCAATCGGCTTAGTCAGGTGTCTGCCCCTGTGCCACCCAGGGGTGACAATCTCAACTGTTGCTCGTGTGGCACCTGGCACCTCCAGCCCCTCCGGGGGGACGTAGTGAGCACTGGGGGGCTCTTGTACATGAGAGGGGGCCTGAGGAGACCTCCAGAACTGAGTGATTGTACCGTCTGGGCTGCCACCCTCACCGGCTGGCTCTGGCCTCATGAGAGGCTCTGATTGTCCGTTCTCCTCAACCCCTGGGCCAGGGGAGCCCGCGGGGTGGCCTGCTGGAGCTGGGGCTCTGAGGAGATGGGTGAGGTACTCACAGAGCTCACCCATCTCAGAGGAAGCATTTGGAGGGGCAGCTTCTGGACCAGGGGTGGCCACCTCCAGCTGTGCTTCTGGCTTTGGGTCCAAGGAATTCTCTGACAACTGGGGGCCTGGCACCAGGCAGAGCTGGCCGGGAATGGTGACCCCTTTGCTCTCAGGAGCTGCGCTGGGGACCAGGGGCTGCTCGCTGCTGCTCCCTGCGGGGGCAGTTGCCTCCCCTGGAGGTGGGCTGGGCCCCAGGCCTGGGCTCTGCAGTTGCTTTCCCTTCAGGCTGCTCAGGGGATGGTCCCTGGGGAACAAGGGCGTCTGGTGCAGCACAAGGTCGCTGTAGCAGGTCAGGAACTCCTCACTGTCCGAGCGTGTGCTGGTGCGGCGCTGGGGCCCCAAGGAGACCGGGGGGCCAGTGAGGGGGCTGCCGGGGGCTATTGAGATCTCAGGCAGGCTAAAGACAACAGGCAGAGAGCGCTGACCATCAGGGCTTTCAGCCAGGGCCCTCTCAGTCCTCGCCCCTGCTGAGGGGCCTCGGCTTGACTGGGCCTCCTGCAGGCCCTTGTGGGTCTTCAGCAGCCCTCTCTCTGAGCTCGGCCTGCAGGGGGGCCCGTCCGCTTTCTCTCTGCCCGGCCCGAGGAGCTGCCTGCCTGAGGTTCCGAGAACGGCCTCACACATGACTCTCGTCAGGAAGATCTCAAACACCATCTGCTTGGTGTCCTCCTCGCTGCTGGCCTGGACCAGTGAAAACTCGGCCTCGGAGGTGGCCATGTAGCCCAGCCTGCCCAGAATGGTCTGCAGTGTGTGTTCAGAAAGCACAGGCCGCACCCAGTAGACAAAGTTCCCTGTGTATGTCTGGAACAAACAGGGTTGTTTGTTAGAGGGGGACACGTCTCAGCAGAGTGGCAGAGAGGGGCCAGGCAGGACCAAGGGCTGATGTCCAGGGCACAGAGGCTCCTGAGAAGCAGGTGGGCCAGGGCATGGGGCCAAATGGAAACCTGGCCCACAGTCATGTCACCGCTGTCCCATTTTATAGAAGGGCACACTGAGGCCAGAGGCAGGACTTTTGTCTCGAGTCACACAGCAGGAGAATGACTGAGCCAGCTGGTATCCTGGCTTCCAGCCCAATAATCCTGGCCTGGAGCTGGAAGAGATTAAACCTTTCCAGTGGCTTTCCACAGCCAAAATCTTTCCCTTGTTTCTTGTGAGCTCCTTGGTGCTGTCCCTTTAGAGAAGCAGTACAGCCTAGTGGTTAGGAGCTGCACTGCCTGAGTTCGAGTCCTGTCTGGGTTGCTTATTATCTGGTGACCGCAGGTAAGTTGCATTAACCTCTTTTAGCCCTCAGTTTCTACATCTGTAAAATGGGACCAAAGTCAGTGGGCATGACAGACGACACACTGCTCCCCCTCTCAGAGGCACAGCCCTGGTCCCTCCCCGAGACCCAGAGGCACAGCCCTGGTCCCTCCCTGAGACCCAGAGGCACAGCCCTTGTCCCTCCCCGAGACCCCCTCTCTCCGGGACATGGCGGTGCCTACCTTCAGGGACCTGATTTCCTTCCTCCAGGGAAACAGGAGTAGGTTGACGGAGATCAGCTCTAGGAACTCCAGTGCCTGCACCAGTTTGCGGCAGATGTGCTGGGCAGAGCTGGGAGCCCCCTGGGAGTGAGTGGTCCCCAGATCAGGGGCCACATCCTCAGGCAGATAGAGCTGAGGAGGGACCCCTGTGACCAGCAGCCGCTGGGCCCTGCAGGTGAGAGCTGCTTGCCTGCAGACCCCGAGCCGGCCCTCCCCTGCCCTGTCCAGGTAGTAGCTGATGAGGTCATCCAGGAGGGTCTCCAGAGCATCCTCGTCTGGGCCTGGGGGTCGGGGCCGGCTCATGGCGGCTCCAAGAGACTGGATGTGGACAAGAGTCCGGTGGGCCTCCCAGGCCAGGCCCAGGCTGGCCTGCCTCTGTCCCGCCCCACAGCTCAATCAGGAAGCCGAGGAGGAAGTTGTGTTAGCAAAAGAGAAAGCTGTGCACGGTGTGGCCTGCCACAGCTTGTCACTCTGGGGCTGTGTTCATCTCCTCCCAGTGGAGCAGAGCCGAGGTCAGTCTGGGTTCTCGCCTTGACCCAAGAGCAAGTGGGAAAGCACAGCAGCGCCTGCATCCTTCCACACCCCCTCTGCAGCGGTCGCAGCCCTGCTGCCCGGCACCCTCAGCCCACCCTGATGTCACCTGCGAAGGCTCCTGACGCCTCCTGCTCGAGAGCCACCTTTGGCTGGTGTGCGGGCTGCAAGTGCCAGGGAGTTAACACCCAGAGGCAGCCCTCAGCCCACCAAGGAGGGGCAGTGGTAGAAACCCCAGCTTCCTGTCCTTGGTGGGACGCTCTGAGGTGTGTTCTACTCTGTCTTTTAGAGGGTCCCCAGTGGATCGCCCCGGTTGCCCACAGCAATAACCTGCTCACTGATGCATCTGTGTTGACTCTTCTCCCTCCCCGTCTTAACTCCTGACTCCTTCACTGTGCTTCCTGGGATCACCTCCCACATAAACATTTACACCCAGATCTTGAGTCAGGGACAGCTTTTGGAGGAATTGAGGTGGGTGCAATCACCTATGCACTCTCCCGTCAAGCCTTCCCTCCCTCCACTGCCCCCTCCCTCTCTCCCTCTCTCCCATTCTCCCTTCCTTCCATTCACCCACTACTTAAATCAGTGATGATTCACTCATTCATTCAGCCACTCAGTGACTCACTCGTTCCACGTGGGTCAGCATTTCTCAAAGTGTGCTCCACCGAGGAGCACTTGTTTGGGGCTTTAATCAGTCTTATGTGAGTGAAGATGTCCTGTGGCCAAATGCATTGGGAACCACTGGATTAAGTAAGGTCTCTAGGCTTCTTGGCTTTAGGACCTCTCATGTGGGAGCTCACTGGGGGTGTGAGTTTCTAGGAGGGGGCAACCTGCGCTCTGTTTCCCAACTTCTTGGACCTGGGTCCTTTCAATGTTCTCATATGGTGCTTGCGGCAGTGTCGTCCTTGAGCAGGTGGCCTGGCCCGTTCCACACCAGCCCGGGGACTTCAGAGGCAAATGAGACAAAGCACCTGCCCTCGGTGGCTCACAGTCTGGAGAGCCCAGTTGGGGTGTGTGTGTGTGTGTGTGTGTGTGTGTGTGTGTGTGTGTGTGTGTG